GAAATCTACGGCATAACTTTGATGAAGACACTCGCATTTAACTATTCGTATTATATCTCACTGATTTACAATGGAAGTAAGATTTTACTGCAAATGTTTCGTAGTACACAAATTCGTTATATGCTGCATGAAGTTCAACTTTCTGCGCTTGTGGTGATGTAATTAATGGTATCAATTCATATAATTTGCATGCGATAGCACTGTCTGTATTTTCAAACAGCACCAACAATGGCAACAGTCACTACTATTAACTGATCCTTTCAGCGAGATTTTACTGACTGCAGCGCTATACTTATAATTGAACCACTAGTTTTTAGTATAGCATTTCACTAAAGAAAATACACTAATTATACTTCAGATAATACGTATACCGTATTGTACAGGAGTTAACATTAGTCGATAAGATAATCGTATTACGCAAGACGTAAAATCTCGCGAGCTATCGCGAGTTTTTTTTAGAGAAACATTACGCAAATTTTTGTTTTATTGAAGCAAAAGAGAATACCGCGATGCGGTTCTGGCGCGAAAGAAGGTCGGCGGTAGGAGAATGCGACTTGTAATTTATCCTAAAGTCTGAATAATGCAAAGTTTTAATAATCTCGCGATTCTCGCCAACGATTCTCTTTCCTTACTAGTGCGCGATCCACCATTCTTTAGCCGTTCTTTGATAACTCACACGGACGCAGATTTTCCTGCTAGCTATCCGAGAATATCTTCGTGATAATTTAGTTGGTCTAATTTTAGCTGGAGCCAATAAAGGTAGCCGTAATAATAATTAGACTACAGACCGGTGGTTTGATAAATGATGTATAGTCGGTTGTAAATTGATTTGCACACTTTTCATCCAATAAAGTTGTAACGCTTCAAGTCGTCAGAATTGAAAGCCATTACTGACGTGTACGCACAGTTATCGGTTATGACAAGAGTCAAAGTAAGACTACAAAGTGTGATATCAGTGAAATTTGGAAGAAAAAAATTTATTTCGAATTAAAGAGCGCGTTATTTTGAGAAGTAAGTTTTATATATTTATATCTAAGTCATAGTAGAGTGGCTTTTTCAATTTTGACAGTTTGAAACGTTACAACTTCATTCGATAAAAAGCGTATAAAATTTTGTAATCAATTATACGGGGTATCACACAAATATTGACGCATCCGTTGTATGCAGTCAGATAAAAGTCATCAAACTGAACACATAATTTTATTGACGAGAGTATTTTATGTGTAAAAAAACATTCCATTTAATATAACAATTAGTTAAATAGTAAAAGTACGCACACGTAAAAAGCAATAGCGAGCGTCGATATACAATAAAAAGGTATAAGCATGATTCTCGCCGCTTGCAGTATTAGCTATAGTTATAGGTCGGGAGAGAGACGGCAGCTTGTACGTCTGCACTCTTCCACCGCCCGAGCCTGGCCGAACTTGTGTGAACTTGGCACACCATATTTAAAAATGTGACATTTTTTTTGGAGTTCTGATACTCTCTTGAAAAGTTTTAGAGCCCTATGCAACAATTTTAAATAGTTCCGGTTATTAAATACAAAAAAATATACTTTCAAAACAAGGTGCGCTAAGTTCACGTAGCGCACCTAATCAGTAAAATTAACTATTTCTTTAGAGTTCCGGCTTGTTTTACAATAGTTCTAGA